CAGTGCTACTATTGACAGTATTCTGGCAGTCCTTCGAATGCCATGTATAAGTCACCGGCGCTGTATTATCACGTTTGCATTGCGACCGTTGTCGTAATTTGAACTACTACGACGACGACGACGACGACGACGACGACGACGACGACGACGACGACGACGACGACGACTACTACTACCACTACCACTACTACCGCTTCTACTACTACTACTACTACTACTACTATACTACTACTTACTACTACTACTACTACTACTACTACTACTACTACTACTACTACTACTACTACTACTACTACTACTACTACTACTACTACTACTACTACTACTACTACTACTACTACTACTACTACTACTACTACTACTACTACTACTACTACTACTACTACTACTACTACTACTACTACTACTACTACTACTACTACTACTACTACTACTGACTACTACTACTACTACTACTACTACTACTGCTACTACTATTACTACTACTACTACGACTACGACTACTACTCTTACTACTACGGCTACTCTACTACTACTGCTACTACTTTTACTATGTATTACTGCGACTACTACTACTACTACTACTACTACTACTACTACTACTACTACTACTACTACTACTACTACTACTACTACTACTACTACTACTAGTACTACTACGACTACTACTACTACTACTACTACTACTACTACTACGTCTTTTATTCGTGCTAGTAATGCTTACAATACCATTGTAATATACGGGTTCAAAAATCATTACATCGCTTCGTCGGGCGTCGGATATGTTATTCCGCTTCTGACGATTTCTCGCGGGCTTGGACATTCATTTTTTTGCGGTTCCGCGGTGCTGGAGATATCGCTCCGCGCGGGGCGGGCGCGACGCCTGGGATGGGGCGGGCTCGCGGAACGGCCGTCAGTGCTGAGAATTTCTTGAGCGAGCCAGCGTTTAGAAGTTCAGTGCTTCGAGTGTCAGGACTCGCGCGCATTTTTTAAGCAATGCGCGTGGCGCTAAGGCCGGAGCCATACTTTGAAACCGAGCCGCCCTCAATCCGCGCGATTCGTGCAATTTTTCATAGCGGGCGCGCGCGGCGCTAAGGCGAGGGCCACATTTTCAGACCGAGCCGCCTTTTATGCGCGAAGCACGCGCACATTTTCAAAAACGAGCGCGCGCGGCGCCCGAGAGTTTCTATATATATATATATATATATATACATATATATACATATATATATATATATATATATATATACATATACATATATATATAATCCGCGTTCAATCCGCGAGACGCGCGCGCATTTGTACGCGCGAATGCGCGCGGCGCTGAGGCGAGAGCTCGGTTTTGAAACCGAGCCGCCCTCCGTCCGCGAGCCTCGCGCACGCTTTTTGAAAAGCGACGTGCGCGGCGCGGAGGCGATGGCCAGATTTTCAAACCGAGCCGCCCCCGGTCTGCGAAACTCGCGCCAATTTTGATAGCGAGTGTGCGCGGCGCCGAGGCGAGAGCCACATTTTGAATCCGAGCCGCCCTCAATTCGCGAAGCTCGCGCACATTTCTATCGCGAATGTGCGCGGCGCTAAGGCGAGAGCTGGATTTTGAGAACGAGCAGCCTTCAATCTGTGAAAATCGTGTGCATGTTTAAAAACCCATGTGCGCGTTGCTGTGGCGGGGGCTCGATTTTGAAATCGAGTTGCCTTCGCTCCAGAAAACTCGTGCACACTCTTAAAAAGAAAAGACAATGTGTGCGGCGCTGAGGCGCGAGCTAGGTTTTGATACCGAGCCGCCCTGGATCCGTGAAGCTCGCACAATTTTTTATAGCGGATGCGCGTGGCGCCAAGGCGAGAGCTAGATTTCAACAGCGGTTCCGTGACATTCGTGCGCATTTGCGAAAAACGAATGCGCGTGGCGCGGAGGCGAGAGGCAGATTTTGAAACCGGGCCGCCCTCAATCCGTGAAACCCGTGCAACTATTTGAAAACAAGTGCGCGCGGCGCTAAGGCGAGAGCTAGAGAAAATAATGGCCGGCCTTCAATCCGTGAGTCTCGTGCACATGCAAGAAAGCGAATGCGCGCGGTGCTGAGGCGAGGGCTCGATTTTGAAACCGTTCAGCCCTCAATCCGTGAAGTTCTTGCACAGTTTCTGTATGAATGTGCGCGGCGCCAAGGCGAAAATTAGATTTTGAAAACGTGCCCGGGGTGGGCGGATGTGTTTTTGCTGTTTGCGCGGTGATAACAATAACACTCCGCTAAAAAACACCCACGGGAATGTATTCGCGGTGCTAAGAGAAAGGGGGCGGGGGGTCAGATTTTCTTTAGGGCTATATTTCCCGTTTTCCTGCGGCACCCTGGGTTACCCTCCCTTGCGGCCCCTGCTCCTGCACGTTATCGAGAGTGGCGTGCGACCCTTGTGGGTCTTACGGTTGGCGGATTGTTTTCCAGTGTTTTGGTTTGCGGTGCTGGAATTGGCTTATGCACCCGATGTTTCTTGGTTAGCTCAGGGTCAACCGTGCTCTTCCAGGTTCGGATGAGTGGCTTGTGGGCACCAGCCCTTGTCCGCCTGCTTTCCCATCCTTCTCTTGCAAACGCTGCCTGTTCTCCTCTGTCGTCTCACCGTCAGCTCGCCACGCCGCTGCCGTCGGTCTCGTGTCCCTCCTCGTCTTCGGTTTGCTGCTATCCGCGGTTCCCTTGGTCTGCTCTTCCTGTTGACCTCTCTCCTTTGCTTGTTGTTGTCCCTTGTTTCTCCTCTTCCTGTTCCCAGCTTGGGCCCTTTCTTGGATGATTTCGTCTTTTGCGCAGCCTGGGGCTGAGGAAGGGTCTGCCTGCCGCGTTTTTCGCCGCGCCCGTTCCGCGGGCCGCCCCGCCGCCCTCCTGGCGCCCCCTGCCGCGTGGAGCTTGAAGTTCGGTTCCTTGGCCGACCCGTCGGTTCGTCGACGGTCGGTCCTTCGGCACAGGGAGTAATTAGAGCTTGGCTCTGGGCTGCCTGGCTCCCCTGGGGAGTTGACATTCAGCGCACGCGCTTGCAGGCGGCATGCTCGTCCGCGCCAGGTTCCGACGAAGTTCAAGGCACCTGCGGCGCCCTGTCGCTATCGTCTGCTCTTGGCCAGCCGCCCCGCGCCTGGTTCCCATCGTCGCGTCCTGGTTGTGTCCTCGTTGTTGTGGGGCGTGACCCTTTTTGCGCGCTTCGCTGCTGCGGTCAGTTGGGCCAGTCGCCCGGCGGGGAGCGATGGTGGTTCGGGCTCGCGCAGGAGTGGCGATTCGTTCGATTCGCGATGGTCCGATTTTGATGGGAGCGCACGCCGCCAGGGACAACGGACTCCGCGTGCAGGGTACCCGCCGCTAGTCCTTGTTCCTTGTCTTCATTGTCTTCGTTCGTTGCGCTTCCACCTCTCTTCCCCTGCGCGTGCGTGGCTCGACCTGGCACGGGCGCGGTGAGTGCGCCTGCGGGGGAAACAAAAAAACAAGTGTTCCTCGCTCTCCTCTTCTTGTTCCTCCTCCCCCTCCTCCTCGTCCTCCGTCTTCGCCTCCTCCTCCTCCTCTTCCCTTTCCTCCTTTTCCTACTCCTGCTCCTCCTCCTCCCTTCTCCTCGGTCGGCCGGTCGGCGCATAGGGGAATGAATATGAACCCTAGTCGAAATGTGAAACGAGACGCGCCAGCCCAGCAGAGGAAAACGTGGCGAGGCAGCGATCGCGGTAGCGGGCGAGCCTCACAACGGTGAGACGCGACGTATCCCCCCCATTGTACACGGCCCAATTCCATGATGAGGCCCTTTTACAGCCCCGTCTTGTGCTGGAGTCGGTGATGGGGGCCGTCGGGGTACTGCAGCTTGCACTCACTGAGGTCGCGGGGAGAAACAAAAAAACACTCCCCCACGAGTGCAGCCAGTTTTGTGGTGCCGCGCGCACCCTGGCCATAAAAAAACACCCGCAGGCAACGAGAGTTCTGGTGCCGCGCACACCCTGGGGGGGGGGGGAAATGCAGTTTAGAAATTGTCCCACACATGTACTGCGAGAGTGGGAACCGCGCACACCAGCTTTTATTCGAGGGAAAGAGATGGTACCCTAATGAGCGTAATCAGGACCTTGCTGGAATCGAACAGATGGTCCAGAGTTGTCAGAAAAAAAAAAACAACAACAAAAAGCACGGCGCCGCCTTCTCACATATCGTGGGGGGGCGGCAAGACACTGAGACTGAACAGGAACGAACATAGAGTCAGCAATAAAAGGTGTAACTGGGATGGGAGCGCCTTGGCCGCCGCGGCATTCCACCCCCCAGGTGGCACATGCCATGACGAGGCATTTCATTTAGCATGTGGACCATCATGGGCACACCTATCCCCAGGAGAGGCGTTGGTTTTTGGCCAGGGGCCCAAACATGCACTGGTCAATCCTGCAGAGGCGGGCCCCAGGGACACGGGCGAAACGCGCAAAATTAGGCAGGCCCCAATTGCCCGGGACGTTATCACGATGTTCAGCCTGAGTTGGATGCTGCATGATTGCCGGCAAGCCATGCTCCCATGCGGCCACTAAGAATGGAATCGTTGTGCGCAGCAGTGCATTTTCACATCTACCTGAGCTTGTTCCCTGGGTGTTAATACACGTAGTCCCCATAATAGCGGTAGAGACTTCAGGGGGCGTGGATGGGGTCCTGGACTGTCTTCTGGTAGCTCATTGCGGCGAGCAGCACTCCATGTCTCACACGGAGGCCCCGCAACCATTCCAGCCACCCACCCTTCCGCCATGAGGCGCAGCCTGAAGGAGACAACCTCAGGTTTAGACATGTCACCGAAGATGGGGCATTGCGTGACACCGATTGAAAGGACCATGATCGGACAGGGTCATTGGGCGACAAGTCTCTCGAATCAATATTGAACATCCCCGTGACGACGCTGACCCGAAAAAAGGTGGAGCAGGTAGCGGTGGGTCCTCCTCCTCCTCTTCCTCCTCCTCCTCCTCCTCCTCCTCCTCCTCCTCCTCTTCCTCTTCCCCCCCCTCCTCCCCCCGGAAGGAGTTCGATGGCATGGAGGGCTTCGAGGGCGCGGAGGACGAGAAGGAGCTGGTCACCTTCAGTATCACGATCAGCGACGCCCCGGGCGCGGACCGCCTCCCCCCCCGGCGCCCCCTCCCCCACCGCACTGCGGCAGGCGCGCAGCGCGCAGCTGGTCCGACTGGCCGTCCTCCCTGCCGTCCCCCCTGCGTCCTCCTCGCTCGCTTCTCCTCCGCCCCGCTGCGCGGCCGCCGCGGGCGGAGTCGGCCGGGTCACGTTTGCAGCCGCGTGGGATCCACCTCCGCCTGCTCTTCCTCCTCCTCCTCCTCCTCCTCCTCCTCCTCCTCCTCCTCCTCAACATCCTCATCCTCCTCCTCCTCACCATTCTCATCCTCATCCTCTTCCTCTTCCTCCTCCTCCTCCTCCTCCTCCTCTTCCTCCTCCTTCCTTTCCCTCTCCTCCTCCTCCTCCTCCTCCTCCTCCTCCTCCTTCTCCGCCTCCTGATCAGGCCCTGCGTTCCCCGAGGCGTGCAGATAAACGCGCAGCGCCCCCTTCGCGACCTTTGCAGCCCAGATTTTCCAATCCAGGGGATTGTGGTGGGCTTCGGCCAATCCGCCCACCATGTTTGGATTATTGGCCATAGGCCCCCTGGATGCCTGTTGGGTTATCGTGGGATGTATCTCGGAGTCTCTTGGGGGGGCCTCTGGGTGGCCTCTTGGGCGCTTCTGAGAGCTCTTGGGGGCATGTTGGGAATATTGAGATTCATCTTTGGGAGACCTGCTCCCGATTACCCTGCGCTTTCCCACACTTGGGCCCCTCTTGGGTTGCTTTTGGAGGCCGCGTGGGCCGTCTTGGATCTTGGGGCGATGTTTGAACCGATTCGCTCGAAATCATGGTCTTGACCTCTTGTGGATCAGATGGGTACCCTCTGAAGGGGTCTCGAAATCCTCTTCGGCCGACTTTGGGGCCGTGACGGTGGCTTTTGGACCGTCCTGGAACGCTCTTGAACCGTCCTGGGTGGGGCCCTTCTTGGACCGTTTTGGGGATGTCCGGCTTTGGGGAACGTCTTGCGAGAGGGCCAGCGGGGTCACGAAACACGCCCCGACGATTCTGGCAATTGAGGGCTTGTGCCAGTTGAAAAGTAGATCCCTTACTCGGATACTCGACACACGGGGGCCCTGAGGAACCTGAGGACACTCCACTCGGTGCCTACGGCACGGTGGCGAATCTCGGCCAGGCGACGCCAGGTACGGCGTTCCGACCTTCGGTGTCGCAGCTGCGACGGCACCCTGCTGGAGGTCTTCCATCACAGCTGTGACTGCCCCGCTGTGCGAGAGCACCACTGTGAGCCACCGCAGCTGCGGCGGGTGCTCACTGTGCTGGCGAGCACGGCACGGCACGGCACGGCGCGCGGGCACGGCGAGGTGCCTCACACCTGTGGAGTTCCAGAGGCCAGGCGCGGCACGACACGACACGCGGGTGCGGAGGGAGGTCCGGCGCGGCACGGCTGTCGCACTCCAGACCCGAGGCGCGGCGCGGCACGCGGGCACGGCACGGGAGGGCAGGGCGCACGGTTTGTGTTCCAGGCTTCGGGCACGGCACGACACGCTGCTTTTTCCACATGTTAGGATTTCGGCGCGCGGCACGCGGGCACGGCACGGTTCGGCACGGCACAGTCGTCGCATTCCCGGCCCTCGGGCGCGGCACCGCACGGCACGACGAATTTCTCGCGGACTAGAACGTTCCACACGGGACGGGACGGCACATCCCCAACATGCTGGAAACCAGGCACGGCACGCGGGCAAGGCACGGCACGGGACGGCACGCTCTTCGCGTTTCAGAGATGTTAGGCACGCTGGCAGTCTGTTGTTTCCACCGCAACGGAGCCCCTCGGCAAGGCGAAGAAACGACGAAGCCGACGAGGACGAGGGGCGGACGGGGCCGGCGGAGCGCGGCGGCTCCGCCGCCGCCCCCCGGAGCAGCTCCAGGGCGAGCCTCCCGGCTCGGTCCAGGGCGCCCTGCCACAGCAGCGACACGGCCGCCGCGTCCCCCCACACGCGGCGCCCGCCTGCGGCGGTGCCCAGGCGCCGCCCAGCGTCGCCGCACCCGAGGCCCGCCCGGGCCAGCGGTGCCGTGGTTGGCCTTCAGGGCGGTCAGCTCCACACGCGCCAGCGGCAAACGTTTCGCATTGTCAGTTGTGTTCTGGCAGCGGGCTCTCTTGAAGCAAGCAAGACCTTCCGATGCATTCGCTGTGTTGGGGGAAAGGTTCTTGTGGAGTGACGGGGACAAGCATCTGCAGATGTTTTCCGTGGTTTGAGGATCCCTGGGGCCGACATTGGAGCCATCGTGGCGCCATGTTGAGACGGCACTAGTCCATGCTGGAGGCCAATTTGAGCGAGGCAACCTCGGAGGCTGAACCCCTCCTCTCTGCCTACTCACCTGTCTTCTTCCACCTCCCCTCCCCTCCCAGTGTCCCCCCTTTCCCCTCTGTTCCCTCTCCCTTCGCCCCCCCCCCCATCCGCCCCCTCCACCCCACTCCCCACTCTCTCATACCGCCCGCCTCCAGCCCGCCCCCGCGACGGGAGGCGCGCCGGAGTGCTCGCACCGCCTCTCGCTGGCGCCCGGGGAGGTGCTGAAGATAGGCCGGGTTGGGCGCGGGCTCGGGGGAGAGGAAGAAATGTGGATGTGTGGTGCAAGATAAGACTTGCACAAGGAGTGGTCCTCCTCCTCCTCCTCCTCCGCCTTCTCCTTCTTCGCCATCACCTGCGTTCCTCCCCCTGAATGTGGTGACGTGAACCCAGTTGGCCATTATAGAGCGCTTCCGCTGCGATGATGGCCCCCTTGGGGCAGCGAATGTGGTGATACGAACACGACTGGCCACTATAGAGCATTTCCATGGCGATGACAGCTCCCTTTGATGGGCAGCGGGTCGTTCGGTGTCCGCCTCCATCTTCTCCCTCCAAGCAAACAATAAGCACAAGGCTTGGCGTTTCTCTGACGTGCAGACTGCGCTGCACACGATCCCTCTCGGTCCGAGGCACGGGCCAGGGTTGCAAAGTGAGCGCTCGCTTTGCCGTGGCCATCCTACAGACCGCCAACGGCGTCTCCTCCTCCGGCGGGGCGCGGGCTCGGGGGAGGTTGGGCGTCGCGCAATTGGGGGCGATAGTGCGGGGGGGGGCAGCGAGGGCTGCCGAAAAGGGATTATTTGGGGCCCCTGAACGGGGCTCTTTAGAGCCCCAAAGGGGGGCCTTCAGGGCCCGGGAAGTGCACCTTTCCCCCCCCCCCCCCCCTGTTGATCGCTCCCCCGTTACGCGACGCCCAAGGGAGGAAGACGGGTCGGATGGGGCCAGGATGTGGATAAATCCGTTTCAGAGCTTTCCGGAACGCTCTCGGAGCCTTCCGGAACGCCGAGAGAAGGCCGCGGCGCCCGAGACATCCTCCAGAGTCGCTGAATCTCAGAGATTCTTGATTGATCCCCACCCGATGTGTTCCTCGTCCTAGCTTCGTCTTAAGAGGGGCGGGGAGTTGGAGGAGGAGAAGGCGCCAGTGGCGCGTCTGCTCCCTCGGTCTCGGCTTCTTTAGGGGCGCGCTGCGGGGAGGGAGGGCTCCTCGCCCAGGCTGGGCTCGCCTCGAAATACTCCTGCTCGGGACGGACTCCAGGAGGGGCCCAGGGAGCATCGGCCGTCGGGATACATTTTTCCAAATGGAAAAGAATATGTTATTCCCTACCTAGGTTCTGCCTAGAAGGATTCTTACTCTCTTAGCGTAAAGGGGCCGGGCAGTGCTACACGCCCCGGGCAGTTCCCCCAGTCCCCTGGGAGTGGTTCCCCCCAGTCAGTCCCCTGGGAGCTTTAGCTTTAGCTTTAGCTTTAGCTTAGCTTTAGCTTAGCTTTAGCTTAGCTTTAGCTTAGCTGTAGCTTAGCTTTAGCTTAGCGTTTCGCTTAGCTTTTCGCTTAGCGTTTAGCTTAGCTTTAGCTTAGCTTTAGCTTAGCTTGAGTTTAGCTGTAGCTTAGCTTTATCTTAGCTTTAGCTTAGCTGTAGCTTAGCTTTAGCTTAGCTTTAGCTTAGTTGTAGCTTAGCTTTAGCTTAGCTGTTGCTCAGCTTTAGCTTAGATTTAGCTTAGCTTTAGCTTAACTTTAGCTTAGATTTAGCTTAGCTTTAGCTTAGCTTTAGCTTAGCTTTAGCTTAGTTTTAGCTTAGCTGTTGCTCAGCTTTAGCTTCGATTTAGCTTAGCTTTAGCTTAGCTTTAGCTTAGCGTTACTGTTACTACTAATGCTGCTTTCCTAGGGGTTCCAACTCCTAGGTAGGGTCGCACTGGGATAATATTTTTCAGCTGATATTTACTTGAGCTTTCTCGTCGGAATCGAAGCACAACTAGGTGATTCCAGAGCTATACGAGGGTCCCGGCGGTCGTCTGCGCTGACGTTGGCGCGTGAAGCACCGTAGCTCTAGGCCTCACAGACGAGCGGAGCAGCACAACGGTGTCGTCCGCGCCGACATTCCGAGCGTGCATTACCCACCCCGCTCCCTCGCTTCCGGGCAGAACCAAGCCACACCACGCGCCTCCCCGTCGAGCGGCCTGACCAGCACAGGCTGCAGTTTGGCATCGTTTGGTGTCTCTTGGAAGCGAGGGTGGTCAAAAGTCAGGAGGAAAAGAAACACACAGACACAATAAATCTTCGATTCCCCGGAAAATATGGGAAAATATGGGAAGTGGGGGGGAAGACAGAAACCGAGAAAATATGCGAAAATATGGGGGATATTTTTATTTGTGTGTATTTATTTGTGTGTCCCAGTTCCCCTTCAAAAAGCGAGGTGGGTGTGTTCTCCCCCTAGACATTGGCGCGTGAGCTGCCCGCGTGAGGTCGGGCGTGAGCGCCCTCGTCTCCAGTGCGGCGTGCCGCGCCGGTGGCCCGCGCAAGCTGCAGCGTAAGGTCGCTGTGCCATCTCCTTGCCATCGCTCGGACGTGCGCACGTTTCCTTCGGCGAGGACCATCGAGGAGCATCCTTGATCATTTGGCGGAAAAACTGCGCACGAAACCGAACAAAACACACAGGGAGTGGACGTCCGAGCGATGGCCAGTCTGGCGCAAGATCAGTTTTTGATCGTCGCTCAGATGGGGTCCGAGAAGACGTGGTCGGAGGATCGCGCCGCATCGCCGATGCATCGCAGCTGCGGCTCGATGTGGAGCCCGATTTTCTCTTCGCCGACGGTGCCGATGCATCGCCTGCGTCGCCGATGCATCGGCGATGCATTGGCGATGCGGCGCGATCCTCCGACCTCATCTACTCGGATCCCATCTTAGGAGGCCTCTAGTAGCGGTGTATCCAGTTGCCTTCGGCAAGTCCAGCCAACCTGCCAGCCCAGAACTCTCGGAGGCAATTGTTCGAACGCGAGTCGAGCGTCGTTGAAGGGACAGTGTGCGTTGACGGTTGCAGTAACAGTCTGAACACCGTCACATGTCACTTCGGCCGTCAAATAGGAGGCTAAAGCAAACAACGTTGAGGAGGGGGGATAAGGAGGAGAAGGAGTAACATTAGTGGACGAGGGCGCACGGAACATCATGATGGTGATGATGTTGAGGAGGAGTTCATTTGGGGCTATTTAGGTTACATTGGTATCTTGTCGGGCAGTCATGAGGCTCTCGTGCACTCTTGGGCCATCTTGGTTGGAGGAGTTCGCACAAACAGGGGGGGGCTCAATTAACCTCGCCCCCCCAGGAGGCCAAGAAATGGTTCAAAACCTAAGGAGCAGCATTGATTTGCGCCTTCTCGCCGAGGCCCTCTTGGACGTTCCAATCGGTCGCGCCCCCCCCCCGTCCAGGTCCAGGGGAAGGGATAAGGGGAGGGGTCAAGACACCCTCCCCGCCCACAAGCTGTCTCGCTCACTCCCACCCGTCCTCTCAACGGTCGTCCATGGATGGGCAGCGATTGGGAACCAATACGCCCATGTACGCGATGTGGCGAGGTTCGCCACGCCTGCCACGCACTACAGGGTGCACACCGCACCCCTGGGCCCAAGCGTGCCAGGCACGCCTCGCGCGCCAGATGCGCCACGTGCTCCACGTGCGCCATGTGTGCCGCATTGTTCAGCCGCGCCAGATGCGCCACGTCCAGGGCGCGCGCGGAGTGTGCCAGGTGCGCCCGCGCACGTGACGGAACACATCAAGAAACACGTCGGCCCCTACCATTTTTGTCAAAAATCAGTGCACAGTCGCGGCGGAGAGGCCATCATGGCGTCTGGTGGGCCTGCACACAGCAGGCAGTATGCCAGCACCCCCGCAGTCTTTGTCAAACACCAGTGGACAGTGATCGCGGGGTGGCCGCGCCTGAACCAGATTTTGCCGCGAAGTGCATGTTGTATTGTTTCTTGTCAGGGATGGTGGCTTTGCGCAGAGAGGCAGTATGAGGGCACCCCCGCCGTCCCGGTCAAAAACAATGCAAAGTGTTCGCGGGGCCCACGAGCATGACTCAGATTTTGTCCCAAAATGTGCGTCGTATTGTTTGTTGACAGTGATGGACGGGGGGTTGGCATTGGTCCTGGTTGGCTGCTGGTCGCCTGGGGGAGGGGGTGTTCATTAATAGGGAACAGTGATGAGCCCTTTCCCGAAGAGGAAGAGGGGGAGGTGGAAGAGGCAACGGTCTAAACCACTCGCGCCCTAACGGACTGGTGTTTGCGAGGGACAAGGGGGGAGGCGGAAGGGGCGGTGGGGGGCGATGCGCGCAAGTGAGAGTGGCGAGAAGGTGGGGGTGGGGACCCCGTAAAGATTACAAAAACCTAGCCTGACATGCCGCAGTGTGCCAGGGGGCATGGTGGCGGCGCTTTGCTCCTAGGATTTGTCTGCTTGAAGTAATCGGGCCGGCGTTTTTCCCAATCGACCCCAAATGGCCCATTCGTTGCCCGTAGTGGCCCTATATTCCGCCCCACTGCGGTTTGCTATCAGTAGCCTTTTGCTGGTGTATCGTGCACGTATCGCCGATTTCAAATCGATGTGTCCCCCTTGAGAAGGCAGGAGGTCCCCTCCCCAACGTTGTTCCTCAGGAGCAGGACTGAGGATCAAGGGCCTCCTCCTTGTCCCTCGTTCACATTTCGCTTGCGTTACGCTCACCGCCTCAGTGCGAGATTATTTTTCCTCCGGAAAAAGTAAGCGACAGTTACAAACAGTTCATGGCCCCCACACTACGGGAACATTCGAGCGACACATTTGCCGTGAGCCTTGACAGCAGCCTCCTCGTCCACATCTGTCGGTCGGTCGGTCAATGAAGGCTGCCAGGAAGTCCTTCACCTAACCCAGCAAAGAATCAGCCTTGCGAAAACCCAACAACATGCAGTTCTTCATAATGCAGTTGCGAGTATCGTCTTCGGTGCAGCTCCCGATGGGGCCACGAAACGTGTGAGGGATGTACCGAAATAGGCGCCGTGGGCGCATGCGAACGCGTGTGAGAGGTGTGCCGAAATTGGCACGGTGGTGCCTTGCGAGCGCAGCCACTGGAGCCTTCGGTGGGGCTCCCTCTGAAGCCGCGAAACGTGTGAGACGGGCGTGCCGAAACTCGTGCAGTGGCGCCCTGCGAGCGGAGCCTCTGGCGCCTTCGGCGGAGCTCCCTGTGGGGCCACGGAAGCCGGAATGGTTGCGGCGGCGCC